ATTATTTAAATATTACTAAAGAAGTTAAAATTGGTAGAATGTGTAAAGGTTATTCTAAAAATATATTTTTTAAGATGAGCTCTTAATAGTAATGGATTCATAATAATGAGGTTAAAAACAGAAGAAGAAACAAGTAAACAGGTTGACTAGTGTACGAATGGTAAAAACTGACCAAAACAAAAGTAATAAAAGAAAACAAAAACAACTAAAGCTTTCAGTTCATTAACCAATAAAAAACATAATCTTAAAATTTAAATATTAAAGCAACAACGTGAACTTAGCGATAAGTTTGTTTGTAGTTATGCCCAAAGCTACACAATGGGCTATCTGTTCTCTGCCCATCACGGATATAGAAACCCGATTTATAGCGTTGTAAGTCCGCAGACATACCGCTGTGCCACTGGAGGGCCTTAGCGTTAAGAGAAATAAACAAAACGAGAAACGCTGTTTGTTCGTAGTTAAGCAAAAAGCTGCACTATGGGTTGTCTGTGCTGTGCCCACCATTGTTATCGAAATCCAGTTTTTAGCGTTATAACTCTGCAGCTTGCTGCTGTGCTATGGGAATGGGGGAGAGCAACGAGAAACGCAAGCTTTCCCAATACGGGAGCATGCTGAATGTAAAAGGTATTATGTTTTTGTTATACGTCTGCCCGTATAGTTGTTGAAGAATACAGAGCCGCCAGAACTATTAATTGTAGTTGATACAATCTAAATATAAAAATAAGATTCAAGTTACTAATTACATAGTTTATTCTAAAGCTGACAATTTAGTGCGCATCATATGGGTACTGTTAAATAACACAACACATTTTAACAGTGTTTCATAACTTTTATTATTTTTCTAGCACTGACTTTATAACTTTCAGCTTTGGCTACTTTATAAAACTGACATTTAGACAGCGGCCCTGATGACTGTTTGTTCCTTGCCTCTAAAGTCTTAATTTAGCTAAAACTAGAAATAAAAATCAAATTCATTCGGATTGTGATATGTAATTGATTTTTATATACTATCTGTTATCATGTTGACATTATTAATGTCAATGGGAGATAGATTTGGTTCTTTCAACTTGAACGACAACCAAAGACGAAGCCAGGAAGGGCAGTTATCTTTTGATTTTTATAAATAAGCACTCGGCTTTTATGCAAACCACTAAATTCTTTGTATAGAAAAAAAGGTTCACATGTTGGGGGGGGGGACCCACAACTACGTAATGCTGAATACCCCCTGCAGCAACTTAGGCGACACCTGAACTAAACGGCCAGTTCAGAGGTTCCAGAATTCAGGCATAGCTGTCCCTAATTCTAAACTGCTGAACTATCTTTCATTTAATTTGAATAGTGACAATCTTTTAAATAAAGCCTTAGCTCACTCACTGTGTTTTTGATTTTTTGGTCTGGAAACAATAAAATATATCATTTGAGATTTAAACAAAAAGTTTGATTTGTTATTTGGGGGCAGTTGCTGGTAAAATACAAATAAAATGTTCACAATGAAAAGATGTATATTACAAGTCATTCTCTGTTCTCTAGGTAACATATTCATTTCAAGAGTAAACGCATAACTGACTTAATCCAATCTTGACTCCGTTATATCAAAACTTAGTTTACAAACATATGATTTTCAACCCTAACTTTTTAACAATTAATTTTTTTGTATTGATACCTATGTCCTACAATTAGACATGTAAGCTGGGGGCGCTATTCCACCGAAGTGGTTAAATATTTAAGCACTAATTCAACGACCCCCATTTCCCAATATTTGACGCTTACTAATGTATAAAGCAATAACCTCTCCCAAACGCTCAAAACTGCAAGAGATCAAAACATATTCAATAATTAGGGTTACCAGACTTCTAGAGTGAAAAACTGGGACATTTTTTTTCCATATGGAATGACACTATAACAGGCTCAGAAACATTTTAAATTGCAAAAACACACGTTTGACTATTTGATAAATAATCTGATGTTTATTGTATAACACTAAAAACCGATTTTTGATACCTGTGGCAAGCACAGCACAGATAGCCCATTGTGTAGCTTTGCGCTTAACTAAACAAGCAAAGCCGTAATGTTTACAATTAGTACGGTCCCTTAGAAGCAAGTGAAAGATAAGTAAGATATCATGTTTTGAATTGAGTGATTTAGTTTTTTCTCTTTATTTATTGTATTAATTTAGCATTTCATGCCAGTTCAATGTAGAATTACATATATAAAATATACAGATATTGTAGGGAGGATATTCAGAAGCCTGACTGAATTCACATGCCTGAGATTTCAAATCTTGAAGTTTCGTCTATGTCCAATCTCATAAAACGTGTATAATTTTAACAAAACTTTATTTTTATATAACGCAAATGGAAAGTCGTGAAAAATATTGTTCTTTTTATAAAAACAAACAAAAGTTACGAAATCGTTTAATTTTCAAATGAATTAATCAATTTTTAGGCCATCTAGTGGTAGAATAAATTAATAACGTAGCAGGTTTTATTGTTAACAATGCAAGTTTATATCATGAATATACGTATATCCATTTATCATGTTGTTTGTAAAGATTTCAGGATTTCTTTGTTCCAAACGTATTCAGTAGTTTAACTTTTTCTTATAACTTTTGAACGATGTTAATAAACGGCTCCCAAAAGAATAAACTACAAAGAAAATTAAAAAATAAAGAATAACATTACATTTTCTATGTTAGAACATGTAATAGATATGCATTTAATATATATATATATATAGCAATTACAGTATGTATACATCTTTATACATACATTAAAATGTTTAAGTATACGTTCGTTTTTCAACGGTGGTTTGTATACTGTATTATTGCATTAATATACTCGCCACATTCTGTTATACGTAATGATACAGATGACGATTAGAAAGCAAAATTGTTGGAGCATTTTATTTTGTAATAATCAGAACTCGGGCTATGTCAGTAAGCGTTTCTTTGATGTTTTCAGCACAAACGTAACGTAACTAAAAAAACGTTTGATAATACTCTTTATTATTGCCTTTACAAGAAATATGCTCCACAATTACCTACTTATATTTGTCAACAGATGGCGATACTTTGATAGGGAAATATATTTTATATAGCAAAGCCACATCAGACTATCTGCTGTATCCACCGAGGGGAATCTAACCCCTGATTTTAGCGTTGTAAATCCGTAGGCTTATCGCTATCCCAACGGAGATCGAATATGTTTTGTAAAAAAATGTTGGTTTTATCTACTTATTCTTTCCTAATTTTTACAAAATAATATTTTTAGCAGAATTTACTGTGCCAGTTATTATAATCTCTGATCAATATAAACAAATAGTGCACATGTCATTTCCCCTTGTGACCATATAATATCTTCCAAGTTATATTTGTCTCCCCGTCCCCCTCTAATAACCATAGCCTAGATTCAAACTACTAAAATTAGGGTTTCTAGGCCGTCACTTTTATCACTCTGAGAAAGACATTGAACCAAAGATTAAGTAAAAAAATGTAGTGGTAATGTTATTTCGTGGCTTGTATCTCGAAAGTTAAGTGAACACAGCAAAATAAAATTACATATAGAACGACTTTAATATTTAGTATAATTCACAACATTTTTACAGACGTAGAACTACAATGACATCATCTCCCATGCTTATTTATTAAGTTTTTAAGGAAGTTTCAAAAATCATCACACACACAAAAAGATCAATATATCAGATAAATTTACTTAAAGAAACTATATAGAAAATAATTTTCAAAGAACAGTACACACGCACATATATATATATATATATAAAACAATATCAAAAGCGCCGTCTAGTGGAAATCACCTGAAACATAAATTCATTTCGAAACTTTAATACCAAACCTACATTATAGGTAACATACATATATTTTAAGGAAAGTGTGTTTTACAAATAATAACGAAATATCGCATAAGTTTAGCAGTTCTCTTTTGTGTGTTTATTACAGCCTACACACCTACGCTACCTAACATTTATTAATGGCAGTGAGCAGTTTAAGTTGCCGGACGTGATTTAGTATATGAATTGAATATCAGGTATTTACGTGATAACGTTTCTGGCTAAGAAATCAATTTAATTTTGTACAGCATGTAAAACACTAAAGTTTAAAACACTCGTAAGGATCGGACATATATTTGTAGTTAATAACATCTGCATGCATGGTTGCATAAAATGAATGACCTTTTTATAAAAATGAATGTCTGATACTTTACCTAACTAGTAGTACATTGAAAAATGAGGAAATAGGTGGTTCTTTCATGCAATATCTGGCCTCATTATGGTGCAATAAACGAACAGGATTTGAAAGTACGCAAAGTTCAAGTATTGCACAAGCTATTTTACAGAGTTTCTGTTAAATTCATACTTAAAATTTTATAAATGTATCTAATGCAGATACTTTCAAAGTCACAGAACATTAACTACATAAACATACAAAAACACCTCTAAACATTATTAAATAATTGCCGAAATTAGTTTTAACATATATGATGATACAGGGGAAATATATATATATATCCTAAGCTTTAAAGTACTCTTCTAAAATAAAGCAGTGATAAAGGAAAACAGAAGGAAGAAAGTGCAATTCTATATAGAAATACGGTTTTAATTATTTCATTTGTACAGATAAACGTCGATTGAAATAATAATTGGCTTGAACATAATAACCAAACCACATTTCCTCAGTAATCAAAATATAAACAAGTGTTTATAATCAATAGAATAGCCGTCTGGGTATACATAAACTAATTAGTGAAAGGTTTGATTTCTCACAATATTGGTAAATTAATTTGTTTGTTTGTTTGTTTTTGAATTTCGCGCAAAGCTACACGAGGGCTATCTGTGCTAGCCGTCTCTAATTTAGCAGTTTAAGACTAGAGGGAAGGCAGCTAGTCATCACCACCCACCGCTAACTCTTAGGCTACTCTTTTACCAATGAATAGTGGGATTGACCGTCACATTATAACGCCCCCATGGCTGAAAGGGCGAGCATGTTTGGTGTGACGGGGATTCGAACACGCGACTCTCAGATTGCGAGTCGAGTGCCGTGACCACCTGGCCATGTTGGGCCTTGTAAATTAACACTGTATCTTTTCCCTTGCCTATCACCATTTAGGTTACTCTGAAAACAGTGCTCAAGTTATAGAAGTAAACAAGTAATTTTGTGATTAAAGTCCAAAATATCTAGGAATAGCATACCAACCAAAGAAAAGTGAGAATATCAGTTGGTATGTATTCTGTGTTTAAATTTTATAAAAATTATAGACAAAAAAAACTGAGGTTAAAGCAACATACATGAAAATATTAATAAAGCATACTAAATTTTGGAAAAATATTAATAGCTGTAGTAATAGAATGATTACGTAGAATATTTTAATTCATCTTTCTGTTTCACCATTAAATGAATTATTATTCCAGACACACACAGACACACATTTTCATAAAAACGTTGAAATAATTTCCAAGTATTTTCTTATATGTAACCTTAAAAAACAAACAAACATGAAGTTTGTTAACATTGACTTCTAGAAGCTGCACATACCTCAAAAACACTCGCAGCTTTTTTCCCTAAATATTTAGATTACATCTGAACTTATTTCAAGAAACAACACTTGCATCTATCATAAAACATGAAAACAATAAACTACAGTGATCATTCCTGCTAATTATAGACAGTGTTTTCATTTCTTATATTTTAATTACAGCTAAATAAAAGCAATGTTCAAAGTAATTAGTGAAACTAAGCAAAATCTGCCTTAAATCTTGACTTTATTTTCTTATGGCCCTTAAAATGTTGTAAGTGCTTTCAACACATTAAAACATTTGATAGCCAAATAAATCTAACCTTAGAATTAAAAAAAAAATACATAAAATATAAAAACAACGTTTTGAAAAAAAATCTCTACCAACAAATGGAAAACTTGATAAGCAATCTCATCTAGTTTTGTTATTAAAAAACAATCAGGAAAATAATTAATGATTTATTTCTACTGATAACATCATTTTACATGCATATTCTTCAAACTAATATTAACTAAACTTCCAAGAGAAAGACTAATTAATTGTACTATCAATTGTAGCATCAACCAGCAATTAAAAACAAGTATACTTCATCTTGCTTTTAGTTATAAACTCGTCAATTCAGTGCTTAAACGTATAATAGTATCAACTCCAAGTGCATCAATTTGCCTGAAAACTTCAACCTACTTCTTTTAGCTTATGACTTCTAGTATTGCACTAAAAGATTCTACTTCTGAGAAAAAGTATTGATAGGTTTAAACTTTTTCTCAAGGGTGGGTGTGTATGGCAACCTTGAGAGAACAAACGGTCTCTTATTGTCAATGTGCTATAGTATTACCCATCTCATTATTTCACAATTCTAATCATCAAATCATCTTATATTTCTACCACAGTAAGTTTCTCATAACCTTATAAAACTAATGATCACATTTTCTAATAACCTTACTTACTTGGCTTTACATTAATCTTACAGGCATCTATACAATTGTGTCTACTAACTGTGAGCATCGCTGCACACATTAGTGATGTAATCCATTACTAAACATTACAGTAATACCTATAGAGCACTAAAGAACAAATAATAAAGAAAATATCTTAAATCAGCAAGAAAAAAAAACTTTGGTCAATGAGTCAGTTATCTTTAAACTGCAATCTCATTTATCCTGATGAAATATGTTTTTATAATCAATGAAAATACTGTGGAGTCCAGTGAAGATGTTGTGACAAAGGAAAAGATCAGACAACAATAGCCTTCTCAAGACAGGTATTCATTTGCAAATGGTTGTGGTTGAACCAAATGGTTCTACACTCTATTGGTTACACAGTGCTTCATTCTTGGCACCACTATAAAAAAGAAACAACATGTAACTAAAGTAGTTCAAAAATGTTATTTTAAAATTGATAAAAACATAGTTTTTGTTTATAATTAATCACTAGTCATAAATATTTATAGTGTTATACCAAAATTAAACATACATGTACACACATAACAAAGTTGAATTTTCTCTTGACTTTGCACTAAAAATGACACACACAGACACACATTTTTCTGTACTTTAGAAATTAACAGTTCTTATAGTCACTGCAATAAACATAATTAGTTTTATTTCATTATAGCTTTTACAGACTGATATCCTTAAGTTTAAAGCTTGTAGTAGTATAAATAATCTTGTACTTCATTTTCAAGCCTATATTTTTTCTACAAGTAAAACAAAAGATTCAAAAATACAATATAATATAGGATTAATATTTTTATTAATACTTTTAAAATACCAGCTTTGCAATAATGGTTAAAAATAGTACTTAAAAACCAGGTGTCTCTGTAACTTACAGATATCTTGTGAAATCTTCTATATCTACCAACATGGAGTCTTGCTGCATATGAAGATCATCTCTTTCTAACAGTAATTGTACTAATTCTTCATTAAAATCTGTAAGATACCAGTATCTCAACAACACTCTGAACTGTTGATTATTTTTTGTGATTGAAATAATTATTCATCCAAACTTTAAAACGCTTCAACATGGACGAATAACAGAATTGTAAACACCATAGTAGTAAGCTAGCAAGCACAAAATAGGGTTAAGGATACTACATCTAATTTTGCTTTGATGCACTCCAATATAAATCATTTAGAGAAAGACCTTTCTAGAAATTTTATTTTGTTTTTACAGAGTACCTATATACTTTTAACCTTTATACTTATAACAAACTATAAACAGATGGATTTCAAAGATCAAAAGAATAAAATAAATCTATCTATACATAAACATACATACAAAAGAGCACAAAAACAAAACACCCACTCATAATAACATTATATCTAAAGCCTTTAGTCAGCACTATTTAAATATTTAGATTTTGTTTTATGATTACATGCTAGAGGACATTTTAGCATCAGCCAAAACATAGGCTCTCCTCCCTACAATTATGGAGTCCTTTCACAGCATGTTTGTCACTAAGTAATCTATACAGCATGGAGCCACCTCTAATCTCAAACCAATGCTCACTGGGACTGAGGCAAATTACTGCTACTTATTTTATATATATGTTACTAAGTTGTTTATTAATTGGTTTATTTTTACTTCATTTTATTATTTAAATTTATTATTATACATATTTTGATTTATATCAAGTTCCTAACATAAACAATAGGAGACTGCACTTTTAATGAAAAGAAGTGGAGATCAAGACTGATAATTTCTCCTAGATACTATAGCAACAGGGCAACAAAATGCAAGCCCAGCCCGGAATCAACAATTTGGAATGTAATTTAATAAACTTAGTACATTAATCCAAGTTAACTGTTGTAAGCTCAAAATAATTCAAAATCAATTAATTATTTATATGAAATTAAGAAGAATATTAATATTTTAACTACCAACTTGCTATTTTTTCTGAAAAATCATAGATATATTTAAACAAGTGTGTACAATTTTTTTATACAGCTAAAAAGCAAAACAGAAGGTGTTAAGAGTAAAGATGACTGACAGATAAGCTCTTACAATTTTTCTATTTATTTTATTTTATTTAAAGCCCAGTTTATATTCTTCAAACAAAATCTTGAAATTAAAGTGTTTCTCATACTATGCCATTTTTGTAAAATATTTATTTTGCCAAATTAACAGCTTGTTTACAAACTGACTTAGAATTGTGAAGTAGAAACTGGTTAAATATTGCATAATGAATTCACTTTAAGCTTTGTCATTTTATGATGTTATATTAACATCCAAATGCTGAGGGTTTTAATTTTTTGAAAAATAAGCTCCACATTATGAGTTGTCCTTGAAACTACTTCATCATTGTTTGTACTGAATCAAATTGCATTCATTACTAACTATTACCGATTTCTTACTTTTAAACTATCTTCTATTTATGATAAATACTTTGGGTATAAGTCAAAATCCGTGATTTCTATGATCTAACAAGATTGTATCATGCTATTTCAAAGAACAGCAAGGACAATCTTAGACCATATATCCTGAAAGATGTTCTATAGACCATTCACTATATTCAGACACACTGAAAGTACAAAAATCCACGTACGTGTTTTAGTGATTTTGCTGTGATTCTTATTTCTTTGGGCATAGAAATATCCATTGATCTTGAAGAGTGTGATTCTTTATCAACTTAAACTCATTGTTTATTATCAAAGGTTTACAAACACTCATATTTTGAAATTTAAACTAGTATGTTTTCCAAATACAATTTTTAAAAATGTTTAAACACAATATACTTTAGGTCATTAAAAAGAATGACACAAAAAACATTTTTAGAAAAAAAAAATCAAACTTAATTTTGCACTTGGTATCATACACTCACTTTCTATTTGTGTGTGCAAATCATTGACTATAACTTGAAGTTGTGCTATATTCATGTCTGTTAGAAATTGGCGACTAAGGCGATGATGACCATCAGGAAGAGGAATACCAACCTAAAGGAATAAACACTGTTACACTCAAGTATTTTAAACAGCACAGACAAAGTAAACCACAACTTATTTTAAAAATGTAAGAAAAATATAATTTTTCATTAAAGTACACTAAGAAAATTGTTTTGTAAGTAATTTTAATTTCATTTATATGTTTTGTTTTTAAACTATCATCTATTTATGATAAATACTCTGGGTTACAAGTCAAGATTTGTGACTTTTTTTGATCTAAAAAAATGCTGTTTAATATGTAAAACATTCAAGGTACAATCTGTGAATCAATATCAACTGAATGATATCTGAATTACTAAATGTTCCTTCTGAAAGTTAGCATTGGTCAAAGCATTAAATGACTAGTTTTAAAGAAATTTTAAACAGAGTAAATTAATTTGGAATTGAAGTTTTAATGGACAGCATCTGCTTGGATTATAATAATGATCAATGTTTTGGTCTCTATGGAAGGTCTCAGCATACAGAACTAAATTATTTCCACTCTTAAAATCCAGGTATATAGTTGATGTCCCAAAAAACTTGAAATCCATTAAATAATTATGGTATTATTTTAAGCCTTCTAATTAATTTATTTTGATGATGCTTTCATTTTGCAACATGTCATACATTCATAGGACAGTTTGCAAGCTAATACATAGCCAAAACAACTGACTGGGGAAACCTACTATATCTGCAATAGGAGATTTCTTTTTCCTTTGTTTTTCGACCTCCATCTGCATACGAGCCATATCTTTGGCTTGAGCTAAAGCCAGCCTTGCTTCTGTCTGCAATCTGGCTTGTCTGGTGGTGAAATCTTCTTCAACTTTATCTTTTGTTTCCCTGTCCTTCTGGGATGATTGCAAGCTCCAACTTCTAGGTCGATGGAAGAAAAATGATGGTCTCTGTCTCTTGGTACCTGACACTTGACTGCTGTTTGTGGATTCTGTTAATGACTTGCTTGATTTTGTCTGTTCAAAAATATTTTAGATGTTGATTTTTTTTTTATAGGAATGTTTTAATCTCTGATGAAACCAGTATCTATTCTAGAGTACAAACCTCATATTAGTGAGAGTGTAATTTGTTATAAATTAAGTAAGAGCAATACATTGTTATTTCCAACAAGAGATTAAAAGTGGATTGTGAAGTCAAATCTATCACAATAAATATCTAACTGTAGCATCTATTGTTACAAAAAGTACTCAATACATACCAAAAAGAAAGTTAAAATATGGACAATAAGAGATCATTTGGTCTTTCAAGACCGTCTTTATACATCCACTATTGAGAAAAAGTAAAAACGTAAACTCAACCTTTACTTTTGAAGAAATCAATGATTGCATTTTTAAACTCTTGTAAACTACTGACCATGACAACTGGTGGCAGCAACTCATTTCACAAGTCAATCACCCTGTTAGAAAAATAAATCTGTCTTACATGGTTCCTAGCCCATTTTTTTCCAAATATAAAACTTGTGTTCTTTCATCCTATTGTCTTCAGAATATAACACTAATAAATCAAGGGCCTTTATCCTGTTGATTCTCTGGATAATCTTGTAAACTTCCTACTGTTCTTTTCTCAAGAAAAAATAAATCATAAGAATTAAACCTATCTCCATGAGGTAAAAGCCCCCTTGTGAATAATTCAATATCCTTTTTTATATAAGGCTACCAAATTGGACACAGTATTCCAAGTTAGGTTGAACTAGCAATTTGTATAAGAAAGTATATATTTGAGACAGCTGACAAAAAATTGAATGTAATGTAGGTGCTCTTCAAAAATGTAATAAAATTCTACTGATAACTTAGACAGTGATCTAAAGTTATGACATGTATACCAGTATTTATCTACCAAATACTCTTTTTCTGTTCATATAACATAATTAGTAAACATGTTTCATCCAAGATCTAAATCAGTCAAGGAATTTTAATTTATTTTAAATATTTCATGAGATAATGGAAAGAATGTACTTATATATCAAATGGAAAAATTGAAATCAACTGGTTTATGTAAAAATATCTATTTTGGTGCAAATTGGAAGGCAAGAGACAGAAATAGCTTAACAAATACATCACTATTGTACAGAGTAGAATGTCATATTAATGGATTAACAATTGTTTTGATGTAAACATATGGGTTTAACTAAAATAATTACCTTGTCATGATACAATACATCAGTGTTTCCACTTTCATTTGATAACTCGTCTGATAAATTATCATTTTGACAAGAATTCTCTGCATCTTGGTCACTTCCTTGACTTTCTTGATCACTGGCTGTTTCATTCATAAAACAGATCTGTAGATTCATCCCACTTTGAAGTCTAGTTGAAAGACTTGGTTTCTTTGTCACCCTTTCTCCACAATAATAGTCTTCACTATCCGAGTCCATAGCCAGCTTCTTGCGAATTTCTTCTCGGTCATGTTGATGCTAAAATAAAAATAAGTTATTATTAAGAATATATATGTATATCTAAATCACTGAATAACAAACAATTATCCTTAATATGACAGAGTAGAACAAATATAAGTTGTAAATTTAAAATTTGAAACTGAATCTGAAACAAGAGTATTTCCATTTGTTATTATCTGGAATTTTTATAGCAGAGAAACTTCTCAAAAGAGCAGAAAACTTACCACTTCATGAATGTCGGAAATGATAATAACAAACATTAAAGTCAAATATTTTAAGCGTTAAAAAGGGGATCATCCCACTCTGTGGTTTGCAAACTTAGTTTACATGTTATAAAAATTACCATAAGAACATATTCATTCTTCCTTTGAAGACATTCATTTTTCATAAATTTAACTATTGCCAGATGTGTTGACAGATATTAACCATTTAGCACTTATAGGAAGCTATGTAATGGCATAAGTTTTCTTCAAACTTAAACATCTGGCCACCTTAAATATAAATTACTTAATAGTGTATTTTTACTTTAAGACATTCAATAAGCAAACACTATTACCACTATTATTAAACACCAAATGGTTTTAGGGATCTCACACTAGTGAATTAAAAGTAACATTTAAAAGTAAAATTTCTTAATTACTTTTTATCTTGCAAAGTGCAACAAAATAAGCCTCCAAGTGGTTCAGCAGTACATCTGTAGGTTTATAATGCTAAATATTAGGTTTTGATACCATTGGTGAGTACAGCTCATTGTGCTGAACAACAAACAAAAGCAAGAATATATTTGATGTTTAATCCTTTAGCATAATAACAGGAATATAATACAAGCCTTAATTTTCGATGGTAGTTTTTGTATGGTCTGATGACAATGCAGCTTGAGGTCTTGTGTTTGCTAATGTACTGACATACTTGTACCATATCTCATGTTGATGAATTGCTCAGAGTCACTAGTCAATGAGTACTCTCAGTTGAAAAAAAAAAGTCCTGCTAATAACAAAAGTTGAATTTTGTTTTTAAACAGTAAACTTGAGGGCTTCTGATGCTAAAATTCAGAGCTTGATCCCTGTAGTAAGCACAGTGCAGTTGGATCATTGTGCAGTTTTGCATTTATTCAAAAACAAATGCATAAACAAGTTATAGTAAAATCTATAATTCTGTAAACATGGTACAGTATATCAAATAAAATTACATAGCTTATTTGACTGGTTGGGCCCGATGCTTAATGGGCTTGACTTACAAGCTGTAAATCACGTGATAAAAAAAAATCAATGAACATGTTTGCCCATTCAGCTGCAGTGGTGTAATAATGTGATGGTGAATCTTACTATTCATTAGTATTAGTAAGGAATAGATTTGGCAGTGGGTGGTGTTGACCAGATAATTTCTCTCTAGTCCAGTGGTTTTCAGACTATGCTCCTTAAACCCCCAAAGTTCCATCCCTCATCTGGGGTTCTCCACAAATATAGTTGGTAATGGCGTTTTTTTTAGTGTTAATCCATCAGAGCCCAAACTTATTTTCTAAAAATCACGAGTCAGTTGATATTCTGTATATTTATTAATTGTTAAGAACTTGGTTACTTCCATCTACTGATCTAGGTTAGGCTTAAGTTTAACTTTAGTGTTGGGGTTCCGTGATGGAAGGAATGAAATAAGATTCCTTGGTTTCATAAAGTTTGAAAACCACTGCTCTAGTCTATCACTTCAAAATTAGGGACACCTAGCGCAGATGACCCCCGATTAGCTTTCTTGCGAAATCAAACAATAAACATTTTACTAATAGTAGTACTATGCAACAGAACACTGCTGAGATTCATTAGCGAGAACTGATACTAACCCTAAGAAATTAGTGGCATAGGCACCTAATAATACATTATGTAAAAATGGCACCATAACATGTTAAACTAATATTATCTTATGAAATAATATTTAAAGCAACTTCATGCTAATCTCAAAAATAATCAACCCCAAGAAAACCACTAGCAAACAATAAGGTCACATTTATTTTCGTTCTATCATGATCAGTTGGCCTACGATTACTGTTAGATTTATTACATGAATCTCTAGAAGGAAGAATACCACTTCAAACATGGGCATCCGCAAGGGGTCACGTGTCTTCCCTGGATTATTAATTTTGCGTTTCTCCAGTTATAGCTTTGATATCATTTTGTCATCTTGTCCCTCTCTGTAATATATTCTGCAGACGCACATGACATCAGATCAAATACTTAAAAATTTAAGTGTTGTTTATTATTAAGCCCAAATCTACACAAAGGACTATTTGTGCTCTGCAGTATAAGTCCGCAGACATACCACTGTGCCACTGGAGAGCATAAATGTAAGTGATCATCATCAGATACTGTTTTCCTGTTTTCAATATAAATACAAGGGGCAAATTTTATCTCTTTCAGAAAATGTTTTGTGGTTGAGATTTCAACACATAGTATATTTATGTCTACGCATATCATCACTGTCATAATAATATAAAAATCAAATATCTTCATGAAATTATTCACATAATATAGATAGGTCTTAATTTTAAAAGCTTTCAAGTCTCCAACCTGAAGCCTCCCAATACCACAGCGGTATGTCTGCGGACTTACAACGCTAGAATCCGGGTTTCGATACCCGTGGTGGGCAGAGCACGGTTAGCCCATCGTGTAGCTTTGTGCTTAATTACAAACAAACAAACAAAATCCAACTGGAAATGTCAAAAATAACAATTGCAAAACCCTTATTTAAGATCATGTAGCCGTTTGGACTGTAATCTAACTGACTAATTAAATTCCAAATATTTATTTAAGACTTAATATCATTATTTCTTGATCACCGATTTATCTGTTTTAGCTTGTGAAC